GAGCAGTAACAAAGCACAGGCTGAGCAGGAGCCTATATCCACCTGACACATGAATAATACTGAACCCGGAACTAAGAGGTACCTTAGTCCACACAAATAAACATCTGGTAGACCTGTGCCTCTCATCGCACAGACAACCGTTGTTTAAGCATCCATGTTTTGAGGTCTGGGCTGAGTTTCTTCCCTCTTTGGATTATTTTTGTTCCCCTGAGAGTCTGACATTGTATCTCAGTTTGGCCCAGAACTCACTATGTAGCCCAGGCTAAACCCAAACTCAAGACAAATATCCTCTTTCTCCTTCAGAGTGTTGGGATTACATGTGTGAGTCACCACACCAATTTAGGTCTGATATCCTATGAGCCCTTCTTTCCACTCCGTCTTCCAAGTCCTACATGATATCTGGTACATTATAGACAGTCAGTAAATATGGATGAATAAGTATTTGAATCTCAGCAGCAAACATAGCTTTAAAGAGCTCAAACAAGGATATATTTGTAAGTGGTTTAATTTGGACTTTAATTACATTTTGTCTTCATTAGAATTTTATTGCTGCAACAAAACACCACGACCAAAAAGCAAGTTGGGGAGGAAAGGATTTATTCAGCCTACACTTCCACATCATAGTTCATCATCAAAGGAAGTCAGGGCAGGAACGCAACCAGGGCAGGAACCTGATGCAGAGGCCATGGAGGGGTGCTGCTTACTGGCTTGCTTCCCATGGATTGCTCAGCCTGCTTTCTCATAGAACTCAGGACCACCAGATCAGGGATGGCACCACCCACAAAGGCCTGGGCCCTCCCCAGGTGATTACTAATTAAGAAAATATCTTACAGCTGGATCTTATGGAGGCATTTTCTCAGTTGAGGCTCTTTTCTCTCTGATGACTTTAGCTTGTGTCAAGTTGACAAAAAAAAAAAAAAAAAACCAGCCAGTACATATTTCTAATTTATTTTTATCATATCAGAGGCCAACATCTGTCTCCATTATTAATAATTATCACTAGAAGTACTAAAGTTGTTAAGCACATTTTTGCATACCTCTTTATAAGACCACGTCTCAAATCTGTTTTAAGGATAAGTCAGTATAAGTGAAGTTCATCCATCTGTCTGCAGTTTCTAAGTAGAGAATCCAGTCTTTACTCCCAACTCTCTGACCATGCTACCCTCTTCCATGAGACGGGAAGCCCCATTATTACTGTTGTGTATGTATATAATGTGAGGTGGGGAGCAGGGACGAATGTGGCACAGTACACATGAGGAGGTTAGAGGACAACTTGGTGGTATCTTGTGGTCTGTTTTTCTTTTCACCTCTATGTGGCTTGTGGGGATCAATAAGATTTTCAGGGTTGGTGTGGCAAGTTCTTTATTTGTGGAGCCATACCACAGGCTCAGGAAATATTTTTTTTTATGTGTGCATGTATTTTGGAGGAGCACACTTGTCAGAGGACAACTTTTGGGAGCCCGTTTTCTCCTTCCATCTGGGAATTGAACTGAGGTCATCAGGTTTTCAAAGCACGTGATTTTACATGCTGAGCCATCATGTTGGTCCTCTGTCTTATAATTCTAAGGCATGTTGTCTAGTAGGTTGTCAGTACATATGTGCAATGTTGAATTGTATTTTCTTATAAATTTGAATAACAAACTATATCATATATTATACAGTAAGTATTGTGGCAGGTCCTGGTTTTCCTGGAATGGTACAGTTCACACGAAATAGGGAAAGGATGCTAGAATTTGGCGTTCAAAAAAGTAAGGAGAGATACCTGGAGTCAAAGCTGGGATATAGGGATTTGTGTGTACCCTAGTTTGTGGTCAAAAAAGAGTGTTAAGGGATGTGTGTGGCAGCCACATGGGGCAGTAGTGATGACAAACAACGAAATGTCTTCTGCTGTCTGCATTTTGGAAGAATGCTGCATTCTATAGAGCAATGTGGGAAGTCCTTTATACAAAGAAATCAATGCACCATCTCAATTAACTGGTGGATCTCACAATGGTGGGCTGGTATTAAACAACAGGGGAGCATGTGACCCTCCCCACCTCAAGCCAGTGCTCTCCAAGATGCTTGACTCATAGACAGGAGTCTGGTAAGTTCTTCCACTGGTTTCTCTCAGCATCCTTGGCATCCATATGATGAGGACCAGTTGTGGGCAAAAGTATCTGAAAGCTCTTTCAGCATGGTCTCTGCCCAGTCATTGCTGTGACAATATGTCTGGCCAGTCCAGACTGCCAATGTTTCTACATAAGTCAATCTAGTGGAACCTGTCAATGTGAATTTGTATATCTTTTTAGTGTGGACAACACAGATGGGAAATCTTGAATCAATTCATTTTATTGAATAAGAATTTGATGAAATGTTTTATACTGAATGACATTCCAACTTTGCTATACTTTCTTTTTTAAAAAAAAATTACTAGAGTTTTATACCTCCTAGTTTCTTTTTGTTAAAACTGTTTATAGATCTATTTAATTCTCACATGTGTGAGTGTTTTGTCTGCATGTATATATGTACACAGCATATGTGCCTGGCACTCTCAGAGTTCAGAAGAGGGTATCACATTCCCCTATAACTGAAGTTACTGATGGTTGTAAGTCACCATATTCGTGCTGGGAACTGAACCCAGGTTTTCTGAAAGAGCAACAGGTGCTCTTAACTGCTGAGTTGTGTCTATAGCTCCTGGTATGGCTTTCTTTGAAAAAGTTTAGTTCATAATGCCAGTTTATTTTAGACAGGATGGTAAAAAGGGGTTGTCTCTGTCTTATAGCATTTTCCAGAAATACTCAAAGCTGAGACTAGCACAGTAGGTACTCTAGCAGACACATCTGAAGCAAAGCTCTAAGCCACCTTGCAGAAGAAGTCATGACATTACAAAGTTTGTTTGGTCAGCGTTAGTCCATCAGCTATTCTTGGATGCTGAGGGAAATAAAAGACATGAGGAGGCCAGTGGAGAGTGAAGTTCCTGGAGATGTGTCAGTCAGGTCCTATTGCTGTGGCTGATATCTAAGAAAATCAACTTAAAAGAAGGAATGTCTAATTTTGGCTCATGGTTTCAGAGTTTTCAGCTCATGTCACTTAGCCCTGTTGCCTTTGGGCATATAGTGAGATCACACATCATGGAAGTAGCACATGGCAGAGGAAAGCTGCTCATTACACAGTGGTCAAGCAGCCATGGGCCCAAGGTCCAAATATCTTTGAGAGAATGTTTCCAAAAACCTAGTTCCTTCCACTCAGCCCTACCTCCTAATATTCGTACCACCTACCAATAATACTATTGAGTGGGGACCAAGCCTTTGGCACAGGAGTCGTTGGGGAACATTAGATGAAGAACATAACAGTGCATCATGAGAGTGCTAAGAATTTCTGTGCCTGCAGCATGGAGGTGCAGAAGCTAAGTTAGAAGCTGCATGCACAGATAGTTCTCCTAGAGCTTGGGGATCAGGCCTGGTATGACTCTCACAATAACAGTTTGAAATCCTGAAGCTATGCCAATTGCCTTTTAATGAACAACAGTGAAGGCAGACAGTTGTATCTACTCAAGTTTTCTTGTTGATAATCATGTGGCCATGGAAGGAAGCTAACTGGAAGTCATTTTTAAAGAGAACTTACCAACAGCCTTTTGTAGGGGTGGGGATCCTGTCTTGGTAAGAGTTATTATTCAGTGACTTAGTTAGGATTTCTTTGCCATGAAGAGACACTATGATCATGCCAACTCTTATAAAGGAAAACATTTAATTGGGGTGACTTATAGTTCAGAGGTTTAGTCCATTATCATCATGGTGGAAAGCATGACAGCATGCAGGCAGATATGGTGCTGGAGAAGGCCCTTAGAATTCTACAACTGGGTCCCCAGGCAGCAGGAAGAGAGATACACTGGGCCTGGCTTGAGCATTTGAAGTCTCAAATCCAGTGACACATTTCCTCCAACATGACCACAACTATTCAACAAGACTACACCTCCTAATAGTGTCACTCCCTTTGAGCCTATTGTCAGTTACTTTAAATATGCAGGTATTTAGAAAAAGGCATTAGTAACTTACAGAATCTTTATAAGACTCTTCAGTTTGATGTCCTTATAAGGCTTAAGAAAGGAGCTGAAAATGATCTAGCACCGTTTCAAGATGAACCTGTGGTCACCCACATCAGCTTCATGGAAGCCAGGCCCACCTGCCCATTTCCTTGCATTACTCACTGACTTCAGCATGAAGGCTCCCATAGCACCTCCATCAGCACAATCTTTTCCACTGCCCAGGTCCTAGCTTGAAGGGAATGGGAATAGGTTCATCAGTGCATTGTAGAATTGTCCTTAGAATTCTAGGTAGGGAACTGCAACAAAGCCAGGAGGTAAACAAATGACAGTTTCTCCCTTACCCCCAAGGGAAAAGCTTTGGTTAATGGAAGTCAGGGCTTAAGGGGAAGATGAGTCAGTCACCCAGCTAAGGACAGGAATGGCCTAGACAGGAAGAGCTTGTCCTGGGGTGGTCTAGAAGATAGCTTTCCAAAGAGATGGGAGGCTGAGAGTCAACTGTGTGTGACCACTATGCCATGGGGTGCCAATGCCTATAACAACTCTTTCAAGCAAGTCTTTTATTCTGCCTGCTGCTGCCCCCTGTGCTAGACCTCCAAGACAGATAATCAGCAAATAGTAACTGGGAGAGGAGATGGAGGAAGAAGGATGTAGAAATCGTGTAGGCCTGTTTGCCTAGCACAAGCCTTAGAAGGGCAGGGAAGGGTTAAGCAGTGAGAGACTGCAGTTCTGAGGGTGGATCACTGCACTGGAAAGTTCTCTTCAGTGTCTGGGCAGGTCCTGTAGGCTTTCTATTATCTAAACATGATGGCGAAAGCTGTGTGACCACACCTGAGATTTGATCCTGGAGTGGGAAAGAACAGAACAGATGAGCACTCTGGTTGCATCCTCTGCCCTGAAGCAAGCCTGGTTTATTAAACCAGTAGGTTAGGAGCATTATTGTTGTGAGAGCATATATATAAGCATTAATTTTTTTCAGGATTCTTTTGTTTGCAAAATCAGTTGGGAAGTGTGGAAGGAAGTGTAGAAAAGGAAGAGGCAAGAGAAGCATTGAAGAGGAGGAAACTGAGGCTGAGACATGGCATCACATGGCTTCTCTGACCAACTGAATTGTGTCAAGTTAGGTGCTATGGGTAAGTCAGCTGGTTCCTTTAAACAGGCACTCCTGTCACCATAATGTGGTGGCTGTTATCAAGCACAGTCAGGCAAACTTGCCTACAAGGCCTGCAGCTGCTGAGCAGTAGAGGAAGGATCCTTTTTCAGGGAGCCCATCTCTGGCAAAGATTCTTTTTTTAAAAAAATATAACTTTTATTTAAATTAAAAACAAATTTATTTTACATACCAATCCCAGTTCTCTCTCCCTTCCATCCTCCCATTCCCCCCACCAACCTCTGAATCTCCTTCATCCACTTCTCAGGGAGTGTGAGACCTCCCATGGGGGATCATCAAGGTCTGTCACATCATTTGGGTTAGGACCTAGGCCCTCCCCAATGTGTCTAGGCTGAGAGAGTATCCCTCTATGAGGAATGGGCTCCCAAAGTCCATTTGTATACTAGAGATAAATACTGATCAACTACCAGAGGCCCTATAGACTGCCCAGGCCCCCCAACTGATACCCACATTCAGGGGGTCTGGATCCCCAGCTGTCAGACTGGGGTCCATAAGCTCCCACTTGTTCAGGTCAGCTGTTCCTGAGGTTTCCCCAGCATGGTCTTGAGCACTTTGCTCATTGCTCCTCCCTCTCTACAACTGGATTCCAGGAGTTCAGCTGAGTGCTTAGCTGTGAATCTCTGCTTCTGCTTACATCAGCTTCTGGATGAAGGCTTTAGGATGGCATTAAGGTAGTCATCAATCTCATTATAGGAGAAGGGCATTTAAGGTAGCCTCTCCACTATTGGTTATATTCTTAGTTGGGGTCATCCTTGTGGATCCCCAGAGATATCCCTAGTTTTTTAAATTAATTTTTATTTAAATTGAAAACAATGGCAAAGACTCTTAACCCACCAGGGACACACTGAAATTGAGTGGAAAGGAAGAGAGAGCTGCCTGTTGACATTCAGTCTCTCAGAAATAAAAGTGCGAGCAGTCTTTCTTCATCTGCCCTTCTACCAATTCCCTCTGCTCCCCTCCAACCATATTAACGACAGGGATCCAAAGAGAACCACTGTTGTAATTTACATAATGAATATTTCCCAAAGCCAATGTTAAAAGACTTGGCTACCAGCCTAAGATGCTACCAGGAAGTGGCTGAAGTCTCAGGAGGTGGAACCTTTGGAGTGAAGTTAGCTAACTGAGGGTGTGCTCTCAAATGGAATGTTAGGACTCCAGGCTTACCCTCTCCATCTCTCTCTCCTTCTGGTTACCATAAGACCAGTTCCCTTTGTCCAACCATGATATTCAGTCACTCCAGAGGCCTGAAGTGAGTAAGCCTGGCAACAATGAACTGAAACTGGGAACCAAATAAATCTTCCCCCCAGTAAGAGAATTAGCAGGGGTATTTTGTTACAATGATGAAAGCTGAGAAACAATCACCCTCCATCTGAGCTCTGGGTGTCATCCCTCACACTTCTATACAGATGAAAACCCATCTTCTACCCTGTTTGATGAGATAATGACCAAGAGTCACTTAGGGAACAAACTAACTTAATGGACCATTTCACTTAATGAAGGTGCCATCTGGGCAGATTATGCTGGGTAAAGAGGAAGAAAAAAAAATGTAGACTTCTCAAAACAACAACAAACAAACCAAAAGAATTCACTGAGGTGAGCCTGGCAGTGGAGACCAAGGAGGGTCTTGATTACACGATTGAATAAGGTGGGAATACTGATGATACGGATGGTACAGACACCTGTAGGGAGAATATAAAGTCCTAAGTCAATGACACAAGTATGGCCATTTAAGGACCAATGCCTCAGTGACAATGTCTTCCCTCCCCACAGGGTGAGGTTCAGAGGGATGGTAAAGCCTTCCTTGGGTCAGGGTGCAAATGTTGATGAAGTGTACAGAAAATGTCCTCCATTGTTTTCTCCCCTCAGATGTTTATGACCTGAAGACTTCTCCCCTGAAGAGACTGATCCTACCAAGATTAGCCAAATCTCCTTGTCTAGCTGTGTATAATTCTCCCTACATGTGTGTGTCTCTCTGTGTGTGTGTGTGTGTGTGTGTGTGTGTGTGTGTGTGTGTGTGTGTGTGTGTGTGTGTGTGTGTGTGTGAGATAACTTCTCCTTGTTCACCTGTATATAATACCCCTGGTTTTCTACTTAATTGTATATAATAAACATGCTGGGCTTTCAAGATGTTATGGCTTCTCCATCTAATAGCCTTATCCACCGATCCCAGCTTTTCTCTGTCTGTGTGTTGATGTGTTTGTCCATTCTTCGTTTCCTCGCCACTCTGGTTAGGTCAATCCCTGGAGCCAAGAAGACCACAGCAGAGACCAAAGAGAATTCCTTAGGGCCTATAACAGCCAAGATACTTTAAAAAAAAAAAGGGATTCCTATCAACTCTGTGCCTTTCTGTAACAAGCCATTATGCTGTTTCTGTCCCCTGTCAGCTGTATGGCATCTTGAACGGACCCTTTTGAGAAGAGAAAGGGGGAAAGGGCAAAATCTTGGAATGGTGGGACTGAGATGTGTATTGCAGTGAAACTTGGACCCAAGGGGGGCCCAAAGGGACATGGGCTACCTGGAGTTCCCAAGGGGGACTGACATATTGGAAGGAATGCTGCATTTACTGGACACACACATAGACGGCTGTTTAAGTTGTCTGAATCCATTTTGAACTAATTCTTGAGGAGCAGTTGACTACAACAACATGAAGAACTGTTGTCTAGAGCTGTCTACTCCCTCCTCCACACTCTGAATTTCCTTAGCTCTGGACCATTCAACCCAATGCCTTTCCTGTAGATCTCAGTCTGCCTTCTTCTAGGCTTCTCCATTTAATACCCAGTTGAACTTTTCCTTCACTTGAACCTTGGCTTCATTTCCTGGCTCTCGTTCTGTCTCCCCTCACAGCTCCTGAGTTCATTCAGAAATAAACTACTGGGTAAAACTTTCCCCTAGGTCACTTTCCTACTCCACCCTCACTCCTCATTCCCTCTACCCCACGCCCATCTGCCAAAATGGGAAGAAGTGGGCATTTCTGTGGAGAGGTATGTGGCTCAGGGTTAAGTGCAGAAATCAGAGTAAGCATGTGCCCTAGCCAGTTCAGAGCAGATGCAGGAAGTTCAAGGTCAGCCTAATCTATATAGCAAGCTCTAGGCCAACCATAGTTACATAATGAAACACTGTCCAAAAAATTTTAAAAAAAGCAGAAAGAAACATCTGGTGGCTTATAGAATTATTAAGAAGTGACAAATAATTATTAGTAAAGCTTAGTTTAATAGAGACAACTATTAATGCTATAGTGCAATACTGGGTCATTGGGCTGCAAGTAAATTTTGTGTAATTATGAAGCTACTTGACAAATTTTCAAGTTCCTCCCATAGCTGTTTTTTCTAAAAATACCTTACTAGTATATCTTTAATCCCAACACTCAGAGACAGAGGCAGGTGGATCTCTGTGAGTTCAAGGCCAGCCTGGTCTACATGGGGAGAACTTACCTCAAACAACAACAAAAAGATAGGGTAAGGACTGGAAAGTTGGCTCAATGGTTAAGAGCACTGGCTGAATTTCCAAAGGTCCTAGGTTTGAGTCCCAGCAATAACATGCCTCACAATCATCTGTAATTCTAGTTCCAGTGGATCCAAAATCCTTTTCTGGTTTCTAAGGGCACCAGGCATACACATGGTTCATAGACATACTAGTAGGTAGAACACACACATAAACATAAATGAATACAATAAAAAAGAGGGAGAACATAGGTAAACAGGGCATAAAAGATACTGATAGGGTCAGGGATGTGCCATCATCAGAAAGTCCACCATTTGCCAGCTCTTGTGCCTATAGCAATCCATACTTGCAAGACTTGAAGCCTGCCACAAACCTCCCAAGAAACTAGTGAGTAGAATCTGGGCTAATGCTAATAACAGAAAAGATAAACAGCATTCATCTCACCATCCACCTCAGATCTTTCAACAGTGATTCTACTGAGTAAAATCCAAATGATAGTCAGGACTCTAGCTGCAAGGTAGCCTAGAAAATAGTTTCACTCCTAGCCTTATGCCACACAACAACACACAAAAGAAGGAGGTTGGAAGAGTTGGGCTTTGATCAACTATGTTTATCTCAGAGTTAGGTTAACATTCTTTAGTGACTCTTCAAATCCTTTTCTCCAAATAGATTTATTGCCCACTTCTTTGAAATGGCTGAGGGTAACCCTCTGTAGCACAGAAGAAGATGATTCATAGTCAGACTGTTATTTACCATAGGTTGCTTCATGGTTTTCTCCAGCTTGTTGACACACAGCCATTTAGCAATGGCTGAGATAGATACATAGCATACTGTGGCCCTGAGCTGCTGCATAGGTTTGTTTGGGAGCCAACAACAGTGATGGCATGCGTGCGGGTCTGTTCTCTGAAGCCCTATCAAAAGCATGAAGAATAAACCTTTTTGGATTTGTTGCCAGGATATTAAAGGGAGGAACAAGTCCACTTGGTTTTTAGTCGCCAATACGATCATCAGTCTCTCTTGAAGCTCCAAACAGCTCTCACTCTTCCTGCTTGTTTGCTTGTTTTCCATTTTTACAGCATTCTCCAGTTAGATCCAGCTGGTCCCAGTCATGAATACACTCTTCCCGAGATAGTCCAGTCCTATGAAGACAGCAAATTCTGGCAACCTCACCAGCAGAGTCTGTTTCTGGCCTGGCTTTGCCAGAGTTTTGATAAACACCAAGCTTAGGATGTTATTCAGTTGTGCTTCAGAGTCTCAGGAGATTTTCTCTTTGCAATAAGTGAGCCAATAGTCTGCAAGGGGAAAAGAATCACACATTTTCTGACCCATCCTTGGAAAAATGTGTGCCTTTTCTCTGCCAGGTTTACTGATGTACTTGTGCTCCGAAGATGAGGCCAACTGGTTCAAGCTGGAAAGATTAATTTTTAAGAAGTATTTAGATAATTCCAACACAGAATTAATTTAAATTTCTTGTACTTTTATTTGTGCTTGAATAGGATATGTGGATTAGGCTTCAACAATAAGTTATAAATTTGTCATGAAAGTGAAGGGTTGGATTGTAGAGTTGTGGAATTTATATTTAGAAGGAAACTTCCGGGTACCAACATTCCTAATAGGTTATCTTGGATAAGTGGGTGTTACTGTAAATATGGCTTAATTTCTCATCCACTGCTAGAAAAATTCTTGGCAAAAAGCAAGGATGCATTTGTTTAGAGGAAGGCAGGAGCATTCATTAAGGAAACATCATGACACTGAAATATCCTTTCATTGGGATTTGGTGTTGATTCAACTTGTGAAACGTGTTATGTGAACTTGTGCATGATGTGTATCCTCTCTGAGCTTATTTCCTCACTGGTGTGGAATTCAGTCTTAATCTCACCAACTGCTCCTTGAAAACAATTGAGTTTAATGGTGATAAAGCATATTCCATTCGTTCTTAGCTCATCTAGTCAATGGAATACATTCTTGAATATTTTAGGAGACCCGGGGTGCCTGGCATTAATTCTCACACAATCTCCTTAGTGGCCACATTGATTACTATGTGGTTTGTACTTTGGGTTTTTTGGGGGGGGTTGGTTTCAGGATTGGGGTTTTTGTTTTTGTTGTTGTTATTTTAATGCTGGAGGGTGTTGCATTTAGGGCCTTGGGTATGCTAGGCAAGTGTTCTACCATTCAAGTATATACCCAACCCTTCATCCTTAGCTTTTGATCAAGACATATGCTAACTTCCATTGGGGAATACTGTCTTCTATTGGGTACCTTTGCTCATATCATGTCTATCCTAATGTGGTCATCTTTGAGGCATCAAACTATTACATGAATTTCAAACCCAAGTGGAAGATACTCTGCTTCATTCCATGTATTAGTTAGTATGATTGTGGCTGCTAGTGAATAGAAAATTCAATCAAATATGGCTCAAAAGAATGAGATGATTTATTATCTGTCAGGCAATAGAGTAAAAGATAAGAAAACATATGATTGAGACAGGATGCAAGAAACATACCCAAACTAACTGTCTCTCTTATGGCTTAAGTCTGAAACATCCCCTACAGACTCATACATTTGAACTGTCAGTCCCCAGCTCTTGGTGCTGTTCTGGAAGGTTGTGAAACATTTGGGATATGGGACTTAGATGGCAGAGGTAGTCCACCAGGAGCAAGCCTGTAGCAGATTGTAGCTACTTTTGATTTTAGACTGCTCTGTCTGTTTCCTGGTCCACATGCTACAACCAAGCCTACACTACACTATACACTCCTGCTGCCACATAGCTACTCTTGCAAGCTTTCCCCATGTGGATGGACTGGCTCCCCAGAAAGAGTGAGCAAAAGTAAATGTCACCTTCCTTAAGCTGTCCCTGCCAGGTGTTTTGTTATAGGAACGATGAAAGCAACAAATAAGTTGCTTAATTGTAACTTGTTTCTCTTCCACACATGCAAGGCTAGAGACAGAGTTTGGGGTATAACAGTACTCTGTAAAATATGAAGGCACTTTCATCTTCCAGACTTCTTCTAGTTCCTATTCTGCCCTTTCTTAAAGCATCAGGAAATGGTCCCTATGGGCTGAGATAGTGGCTAGAGACCCAGCCCTTGCCTTATGCATCCAGCATTAGAAAGAAGAAAGGGTACAGATGATGTTCTTGAACTGCCTTATAGAGAAGGCTCCTAGAGGTTGTCATACGATATTTTTGCTCGTATTTCATCAGCCAGAGCTTAGTTCCATGGACCACCAAACTTCAAAGCGATCTCTTCACTCTAGATGGCCAGGTGCCCAGCTATAAAAGGACTCAAATATATGGCAGATGGGGAGAATAGCTTGGGAGGAGGCATAGTGTTTGCCAAAGCACCTTCCAGGTGGATGAGTTCCAGGCTCCCCCTGCTTTCCCGATTCTCTTGGCTTTCCTTCACTCAGTGTTTCACTCTAATTTGGTAACTGTATGAGCAAATCCACAACAGGCCACAGTGATGGGATCCAGAGAGTGGAAGCTGCTTCTGGATAGACTGCTTCTGGGAGACAGTCACCTACCTCCAGTGTTACCTTGATCCTGCCAGTGGCAAAGGGTG